AACTTGACCATACTAGCTTCTTTGACAAATGGCAACCCCGCTTCTTTGAGCCTGCAGGCATTGTACATCATGACTTCTGCCGCGTGGATTTCTGTTGCCATTTGTGCATATTGGTGTTGCATGCCCTGGAAGTCTCCAATGGCAGATCCAAACTGCTTGCGTTCCATCATATACGGTAGAGCAATGTCATATAAGCATCCCTTGGCAATTCCAATCTGTTGAGCAGCAATGCTGGAAGTGCAATAGAGAGAGAAGAGAGGCGATTAGTAAGTCAGCATATTACTCGACTCTCACTCGTTCAACTAACTGTTTGGACGCAGCACAAAGATGAAGCATTGACCCTCGGTTGTTTCTCTTTGTCCATGCAATCACGTACCCAATCCGACCTTCATTTAGAATGTTGATGCAATACTTGTATCCCAAACCAACTTCTCCCAGAACTTGGGAGGCATCTACCTGGACATTTTCAAATGTCAAGGGGCACGTGGAAGATGCCTTGAGCCCCAACTTGTTTTCAGGCTTTCCTACATGAATTCCCTCCGTGTTGGCATCCACCATGAATGCCGTGATGCCCTTGTATCCTTTGGAAGGATCCGCATTGGCAAAAAGGAGAAAGACTCCAGCTTCCTTGGCATTGGAGATCCAGAGTTTAGTTCCATTGATCGTATAGTAACTTCCGTCTGGCGACGCTGTGGCGGTAGTTTTCATGGCAAAGGCATCACTGCCACTGTCGGCTTCCGAAAGACAAAACGACGATGCCGTGTCAGTAGCCAATCGGGGCAGCCACTGTTTTTGCAAATCCTCGCTTCCCCAGAATCTCACGGCATTGTTGTTGAGCGTGTTATGTATATCTACAAGTATAGCAGTGCTTGGGTCGACTCGTGAAATTTCTTCGACGGCCAAGCAGGCACTGGTAAAACTCAATTCGGACCCGTTGTATTCGGCCGGTATTTCCATCCCCATGAATCCTTGATCAAAGAGGGCTTGCAGAATCTCGGGTCGTAGTTTAGCTTCATTGTCCATATCTCGAACGATTGGCTGTAATTCTTCTCGTGCCCATTGACGGACAGCATCGCGTGTCATTTGTTCGTCTTCTGTAAAGACCGTAATGGGAGATGTTTTTTCCGTCAATTCAAGGTTAAAGTCGTCGGACGGAATGGAGGAGAGACTTCGTGTATGGCCAATGCTGAGGGCAGTCACATTCTTGTGGAGATTCTTCCTCAAAATGGAGGCAATGGGACGTCGAAGAGTAAACATGGCGTTGAGGCAAAGGTTGCAACACAAACAATAGATAATTTATGAAGATGATAGATCCTTTCAAGGTCCATGGCATTCCCACAACGGGCCAGATGCTTTGACATTGTCGCTGTCATCTTTCAGAGAAAGAATTCTCACTTCGATCCACGAATGATGAAGAACTCGGGACAATCAAATCAAACGGGACTCCTCACGATCTTTCATTCGCATCCATGCACAGCCCATTGCAAAACCCATTGACGTTGACGACCACTCAACCATACCGGTACGCACTGTTGCTGTCTCATTACATCTTGTTTCTCTCATCAAGATAGATGGACTCTTCAAGCACCAACTACGATCCCAACAGCATCATTTCGGCAGCCGATGCCCGGTTGACTGCGGGAGACTTGTCGGGCGGGACACTGGCGTTTCAGTCGGCGTTGTTGACGTGGGTCGATGACGCCCGCGAAGCGTCCGTGCCGAATGAAGCCCTCAACGATGCCATTGCGACGCTGTGGCTGGCATATGCGCAGTTCTTGCGCAAAGCCAAACAGTTCAAATCTGCCACGGACGCCTACGAAGAAGCCATCAAATGTCCCATTGCTGGCAAAGTGGGAATGGTGTGGCTCGACTATGCTCGATTTGCCGAAGAGCGAGACAAGAAACGAACTGCGCAATCCGTCTTTTTGAGGGCGCTAGTGGGAGATGGAAAGGAATATTTAGAAGGCGCCGTCAAGGATGAACAAGATCGACAGTTACTATGGCAAGAATTCCTGGAATTCATGAGAAAATCAAATCCATCCTTGACTCTGGCCAGTCTACAAGCCGCTGTGGAAAACGAACATTTGGGCGTCACTGACAATTCACCCATACCACCAGGAGCCCAATCCCCTGTACGATCGGGATCTCCTGTACCACCTGCTTCCAAGCGAGCACGATGGGCCGAACCACAAGCTGAAGAATCCAAAACTCATGTCGTAATGCTAGAATCGGTGGAAGCAGAAGCGGCAGAATTGCTCAACCGAACCAATCAACCCCATTTGCCTCCCGAAATTGCGGCTGCTTGGATGGTACGGGATGGGGATACTCCGCCACAGCCTCCCGAACCACCCTTGTTTGGGCCCACTCCACCCAAATTGTCCGATCCAACCGCCAAGGATATTCTAGGAGAAGAATTGGCCTACAAACTCATGCAATGTCTCCTGAAACCATCGGGAGATGCCGTGCTGCAAGTCTGCCGTGCTCTCTGGACCATGACTGCCTTGCAAGAAGAATCCGCCGCCAAGTCACTCGAGCGATTGGACAAATCCCTCCTGGCGGAACATGAAAAAATAGAAGCCACCTTGGATACCCGTCTCGCCGTGGCAGGTGCCGCCCGTTCCGCAGTCGTTCAAATGAACGATAAGGAACGAGAATCCTTTCAACAAGCGTGTCGACAACAACGACTGGGGCGGTCCAACGAAGTTGCTTGGGAGTGTCGACAATTGCTCTGTGTACAGCAACAACTATTGACTCATATGAATGTGCCGGGATTTGACGGACCCACGGTGGATGCCTCGGCGTTGGACCTGCAGGCTAGAATCTGTTCCTTTCTCCATTCCGCATTTTACGTGCGCAATCGCATTGGAGAAGGTCCGCATCGGGCGACTTTGAAATCGCAGTCCGAACGATTGAAGAAAATACTCGATGATCCCAATCGTTCCGTGTCGCCGGTGCCGCCGCCCTCGACAGCGGCGACCTTTGCGGGGGCGCCACCCATGCCCAACAACAATCCCAATAATTATGGAGGTGGACAGTATCCCATGCCAGGAGCCATGGGGATGCCACCCATGCATCAACAGCAACAACCTCCTCCTCACTACGGAGGTATGCCACCGATGGGATATCAGCAGGCACAGCCAGGACCTTACGGACAACAACCCCATGTGCAGCAGCAGCAGCAACAACAGCATCAACAGTACTATTATCAGTAGCGCGCTGTACTGTTGTTTCGATTCGATTCAATCAATCAATCAATCACCCCTATGGGGCACGCTAATAGGAATAGTAAACAATCCTTACAAAAGCACTACTAGTATTTACTAGCTAGTTACAATCGGCGCCGTACGACAGTATATATATGTTACCGGTAGGGGTGGAGGCATCCGATTCAATCCATGTATGTGAGGGAGCTAGCTAGGCATCACGGAAGAAGAATCAATTATGGCTATTGTATCCATCCAGAAGCAAAGCTCTCCAATCATCACTATTTTCAAATAATAAAGGGCTCTCCCAAATAACAGAAATTTAGCATGCAACTATGGTCCGCCCCCCAAGGTTGCGTCACGTTTCCGAGGTCCACCAATGTTATACGGTACGTGTGTCACTGTAGTCACCCGTCTCTTTCACTGAGGGAGCGTCGCTGGGGCCTATGGTAACGATTGGCTCAATGCCCATTCTTGGTTGCAGGCAAACAGAGGGTCTACGGGCTACCGGTGCTTCATAATTATCATCAATACACGGTTGTTTATTCAAATATTCGTTCTAAAGGGTCAGATGAAATCCAAGCATCTCGTTCTCAGCTCACCGCGGGAACAGCAATGCGACAAACAAGGGAAGCCTCAAAGCCAGCGTCGGCGAGCCAGCTACTAGAGAACCCCCAGACATGCTGCCAAATTCAAGGGTGCGGCGGAGTCGTTCAGAAGAAAAGATGTGACTGCGATTTGTCGTATCCTGTTGGAGTAGAATCTCTCGCCTAATCATACATGGCATCGTCATCGTTGTCACCACCTCCTCCATTGCTACCGCCGTTTCCACCAGAACCTGAACCACCATCGCCCCCAAATCCAAAGCCACCATCCATCAACAAGTTAGCCGCCAATGCTTCATTTTTGTCACAGGCTAGGAATGCTTGGGCAGCTTCAGCCCGATCAAATCCCATTTCAGTAAGACGATTCACAGCAGCCATTTCTTCCTCGTTCAACCGCAGCACCTGAGGTCCACCCTCGCCAGCTCCAGCACCGCCCATGAGCCCTGCCATGTCACCCATGCCACCACCGCCCATGGCTTGCATCATGTACTGTTGTAGTTGTTCAGGTGGGATTTGTCCTAGCATTTGGGCGGTCTGTCGAAGCTGGTCAGCCGAGAGACCCATCATGGCCGCCATTTGGTTGAGTTCTGCAGGGCTCATACTTTGAATCATCTGTGCCATTTGTTCGGGATTGGCCATCCTTCCATCATCCTTGCAGCGCCACCAGCTGCAGCACCAGAGGAGGAAGATGATCCAGCATTGGCTGCTGGTGCCGGGGCATCCGTGACAGGTTCGTTCATCATAGTCAAGAAGGCTGCTTGGTTCTGGTTGATTGCCTGAAGCAAATCAGGTTGTTGTTGACCAATCTGGGCAAGGACCGTCTGAAGCATGTGTGGGTTGGTTTGCACCAACCGACGAAGCTGATTGATTTGGGGTGATTTCGGAATGCCTCAAGACCACCAGCAGCAGATCCAGACGACGAAGATCCGACGCAGCTGCTTCCACCCCAGGAGGAATTCCGTTGGTCAAAAATTCCATGGCAATGTCAGGATTGCCGTTAGCAGCCCGGAGGCAATGACGAACCTCAGCCTCTGGGAATCCCATGCCGGTGAGATTGGTAACCATTTCAGCAGGAAATTCATCGGCTGCCGATGCCTGGGCGGGAGCAGCAGCAGCAGGGGCCTCAGTTGAAGATGATGCAGCAGGAGCTGTCGTGGTGGTGGTGGTTGTCGTGGTAGTTGTTGTAGCAGCAGTTGATGATGCTGCAGCAGGAGCTGGTGCTTCTGTCTCCATGGCAGCAGGAGGGGCTGGGGCGGGAGCAGCAGCCGGCTTTTTGGCTTTCGTCACCATGACGACAAGAAAATCAGTGGGTTTGATGTTGCATTCTTCTACCTTGGAATCGTCTTTCAAAACACGCCCAGAGTGAATCAATTTCATGGTGGCTGCCTGGAGTTCTGGCTTGGCCTTTTCCTGTAAATCAAAAACACAAATAATAAGCGGTGTGAGCCGCGACGCAGAAACCAATAAAAAATACTGCGACCCAAACGGAAAGAACGCAACCAAATCGACCATTGCATCCCTTCCCAGCACCTTATCAGCGCCAACATATTTTAGACCTCCATTTTCCATTGCCACGAAAACACCGCTTGCGGTGGCGAAATGCCATTCCTTTCAGACCTGCCAACCAGGTAAGAGAGCCCGGAAACAAGATCATTGATCCTACAGCATGCCCCAAATGGCAAACTTACAACAATGGCTTTCACCTCAGACACAGCCTGTGTCGGTTCACACTCGACATGGAACTTCTCTCCCTTTAGCGTCTTCACTAGCAACTTCATCGTGACGGTCTATCGATCTGCTTGTCGTGTCTTTGACTTTGTTTTGGCTGTTGGCAGTTGCGAGTTCTGAGACGAGGCGACTGCAGTGAGCCGGTGCTGGGACCGATGGTGAGACGGAGGGTTAAGGATAAGAAAGCCATCGAACCGCGAGGATCCAAATTCACGATTTGCGAGGGCATTTTTTCCAGAGACCAAAAAGCACGACGCATCAAACACGGCAGAACAAAGATCTATTGGTTGTTGTTGCCTCCCTCGAGTGGTGTTGGTATTGTAAAGAGTTCGAGTGGTCTAGACTCCTCTGCAGCAGGAAGCGTCTGATTGGAAATTCTGTGTTGTCGCTAGAAAGAATTGAGTTGGTTTGATATTTTGTCGAGTCGAGTCATTGATCGCACCCATGGATTTGGCACGATGGGCCCTGAGTGGAATCGGCGGGGCGGATGGCGAGGAACAACAGCCAGATCAGCAAGATCAGCAGGAGAACGAGCAAGCGAGCGCTGAAACCTTGTCGCCTGAAGAAATGCGAGCTCAGCGCTTGGCCCGTATGGAAGCGATGCAGAAGAAACAGGCCGAGACTGCTGCTGCTGCTGCCTCCTCATCGAAAAGCGAGGACCCCAAACCCATGGAGATTGACGAAAAACCCGCTGCCAAGTCGGCTCCCGAGAAAATGGATGTGGACGTCGAGGAAAAGAAGACTAGCGCCAAATCGTCTGCCGCGGCTCTGTTGCCGCAAAAGGAACCCAATAAGAAACGAAAATCCGCCACAACAACAACTGCTGATCCAGCACGAAAAACACAGAAAAAGGCAGAAGCTATGCTCAAAAAAGTTCTCTCGGTTGCCCTCACTGGAACCTCCACCACCAGTGACTCTTCCTGTGTCGTGATCAATATTGACGACACCGCCATTTCCGTACAAACCATTGCCGAGATTCTAGCAACCCGTCTTTCGTTGCCCGCGAATGCTCCAGAATTGAGAACCATGCCGGCGCAAAAGGCCCTCATTCCGTACTTGGCTCAGTGCCATCGAAGAGCTGCTGAAGAGCTCAAAACGATGAAACAATCGTCCAGCAAGAGCAAGTCAACTTCGACACCAGAGCTCATGGAAATTCTGGAAGAAATCAAACGACAAGTTGTCAATTATGCAGGCTCCTGTCTCATGGTACCAGAATTGTTCGAATTAGGCAAAGATGCTCCCATGCAATTGGCCAAATGCATGACTTCCAATGTCACTGATTTGGCTTCCTCCATCACCTTTGGCGTCACTGGGCCAGCTAGCTCCTTCTACTTTTTGCTCTGCGAAGAGCTGGTTTCCAACGACGAAGAAGCCTTCAAGCGCGTGATTGGAGAAATTGTGGCGCAGTTGACCAAACAGTTGGCCAGAACCGAAAATGTCTTGGATGGAGGCGATGGCGTGACAGAGGGCAGTGCATTGGTGATGGTGTCCGCCCTGACATCCGTTTGCAGCCACAAAGAGGCAGCCAAGGTCGTCGCGCAACTCCCCAATTTCCTATTGCCACCGGAAGGGTCCGACAAGGCAAAGGAAGTGGTTGAGAACAGACCTCAGGCAGGAGCAGATCTCATGTCCAGATTGTTGGGGCTTGGAAATCGTAGCTATTTGCGACGATCGGGGCCAGCGTTGGATAAGGAAACAATTTTGGGCCTTTGTCTGAGACCTGGAATTCCCAAAATCAATCCGGCGTTTAGCAATGTTCGAATGTCGATGGATTCCGTAGAGCGCACGACAAGCTCGCAACGGCGGCAGCTGCGTGTTCATCAGGAAGCGTGCAACCAACTGGTCATGAAGCTTGTCCGGGCTGGGCCTGGGGCCCAAGGAGCGGTAAGATTGAGACTATGATGTCACAAAAGAGGGTAACTGTGCGATCCCATTCCTCCCAAAAGTGATTTCTCAAATATTTGTTGACGTATCCTGCTGTTGAATCACAGGTCATGAAGTGGTTCCAGGACGCACTCGTTGTCAACGTTGGAGCCACTGGTTTGCGTCCTGATCCACGCAAAGTTGGCTCCATTTCAACTCTCATGAATGCCCTTGTCGTCATGCTGAAGCTCTGCGAACCGTTCATCAATGACGAAAAGAAACAACACTTGATCAACCCTGGATATGTCTCCTGTCCAAGCACACACGGTGGAGTGTATGCGACAGGAGAAGATGGCGTTCCCCGTTTGGGAGAGGTCGATGCGGCCTCGATGGAGACCGAATACGCACCGAAGAACAAATTTATTCCTCAGTGCTTCTTTCTGTGTGCGCGCTTTATTCACCTCGGATACGCTCATCAATTTGCTCCCCACACAAGCCTCATGCGGCATATTCAGCACATGCACTGGGAAGCACACACCAACAACCGCAATTTGGACAGCGACGACACGTACATTCGAATGCTGACAGCTCAGCGAAGCCAAGAAGTGACGCTATTTCAAGAAGAGGTAGTCACAGACTCGCTGCGCTTTTGCAACCTAATGGCGAAAATCCTCTTTGAGATGGATGACAAGGAATTGCGTCGTATGCCCGAGCATTTCGTGATTGATACATGCGATATCATCATGGGAGTGGCGCGTCTCAAGCCAAAGGCACTTCGTGGTCTGGAGTTTCGCTACGTATTCAAGCTGGTGGTGAAGTTGCTGTCTCCCACATATGCAGGGGTATGATTGATTGGGTTGTTTTAATTGACTGTTTGCTTGCACTGTTATGATCTCACATCCGAACTTCCTCTCATTGTCTTGTCGTTACCAGGTCGTTCGCAACTACAATCTTCGGGCTACTCTTGGGGACGTTCTGTACGATCTTTTCCTTCCGTCTGCGTCAGACGAGCGCCGTGATGTACCAACATCAGTTGCCTGTGATCCGTTGGCAGGCGGTCAGACCTACCTCCTGTCGGATCCTGCAGCCCAGGAATCCCTTGCTCCCTCACTGCTCCTCTTGTACGGAGAAGTCGAACACACAGGCTATTATGACAAAATGACGCACCGGGCAAAGATCGCATCTTTGATCAAGTATTTGTGGGAGAGCACAGAGCACCGTCCTGCCTTCCGCCGAATCACCCAAAACAAGCAGAGCTTCATCAAGTTTGCAAACGGTATCATGAACGAGACGAATACGCTGATTGCCACTGTAATGCAGAAGTTGCCCGAAATTCGAGAAGCACAGCTCAAGATGAAGAATACGGCTGAATGGGGTCAGCTTGGGGAAGAAGAGCAGAACATGATCACTGGTCGCCTCGATGACAACGAACGCGAGGTCAAGCATGCCCTTCCGCTTTGCAACAAGACTTTGCAGATGTTTGGCTACTTGAACACGGACAAGGATATCCGGAACCTATTCTTGTTAGATGAGCTGTGCAGCCGTCTCGTACAGATGCTGGTCCATGTGCTGACAAAGTTGGTGGGTACGAAGGGATTGGATCTCAAGGTGGAGAACCCAGAACAGTACGACTTCCGCCCCAAGGAGTTGCTGCGAGACTTGTGCGCCATTTTTGCGCTCTTTGCCACTGCCAAACAGTTTCAAATTGAATGTGCCAAGAGCGGCTGTGAACCTACTCTCCTTGCCAAGGCTGTCCAGACATGTCGAAAGCTGAACCTGTTGACTGGCGAATCCATGACTGCCTTTGAAGCGCTACCAGATATTGTTGCAAAGGAACGCCAATCAGTGGAAGCCGACGACGAACTTTTGAAGGATGCGCCGGAGAAGTTCCTCGACGCCATGTTATTCACGTTCATGAAGGATCCTGTGATCCTGCCGAGTGGCACGATTGTGGACCGTCCAACGATCACCCAGCATTTGCTGAACGATGCCACCGATCCATTTAACCGTGCTCCGATGACTGTAGAAGATATCAAACCAGCAACCGAGCTGAAGGAAGAGATGAACAAATGGCTGGAGGAGAAGCGCGCTGCTTGAGACAGCTAGCTAATTTGATAGCAACGCACGCAGCGTGAAATATGATAAGATCTTTTGGCATAAGGCAGTAGCCATCAAAAGAATCATATCTACTTCGTGTACATGTACCAGTAGTAAGGAGAGAACGAAGCAGTGCTTTCACTCGTCTGATAAAGCAGCGCCCTCACTCATTCACATAATGAGGACATCCCTTGTCCTGAGGTGGTATACCTTCTTTTCAGCGCATCCCGCTGGCTTGGCGTCCGCTCGAGGTTTGGGCTTCGATATCTTGCTTTTCGCATCGGTGACTACTTCCGTATCCTTCTTGGCTTCTTCAGCGTCAAAATCAGGCGGAACACCCTTAGACCTCTTCACGTGGACCTCCCAAAGCTCATCTCCAATGGACCTGGATCGCTTCTTTCGATTTTCGTGGTCATAATCGGGATCTTCACCCTTGTCACGAGACAGATGAACCAGAAAAAGTTCTTCCCCGACGGTAGGTTTGTTGGTGGTGTTCGTCGCGCCTTTCTCGTCAGAAGGAGCTGGCGAGGTCTTCACAGCTTCAGTAGCCTCTTCTTGCTCAGTCTCAGCAGCAACCTCAGCTTTCTGAGTGTTTGACGCTTTCTCTTCGGGAGCCGTGCTCATGGTGTTGGATGATGTTGTTGCTCTGTTTGTTACTCTTATTGTGCTTTCTCAATATCTCAACTCAAGGCTCCCTTGCTGATGTTCTGGAGATGGATCCATCGATACTGGTATATCCAGCACACCCGTACTAGCAAGGTACCAGGTACCAGTATCTTCTGGTACATAGCAGCGAACAAGAACCCCTCATCATTTCAACGATCGAGATGGCATGGATCCATCAAGACATCAAGAATCAAGAACAAGTAACAACTGTCGAACAAGAACCTCTCTTGGTTCGCTTCTCCGCGAGTGTCACCATGTTTCGATTCCGTCAGCGTCCTCTCAAGACGACAGGCACCCATCAAATCTTTTTTTCTTTCCCGAAGCTTTTACATGTACGACTGTACAGCACTACGGCAAACACCCAGCTAGCTAGCTAGAACGGTCGCGGCTCCTGTTCACATCAACATGCACCTTCAGGAAGGGCAAATAAATCTAGCTATTCCTCTCAATTGGGTCCTGTAACTTTGGATTACAGTATCCCGAAATCGGAGCCTGGTGGGTGATGACATCATATAGATGTTGCAAAGCTATCACTGTATTCGGCGGCCCCTGGCTGGCTGCTAGTAGAATTATTTCGGGCAGGTGTTCACGGGAGCCGATGAAGACCTGCTTGAACTGTGTGGCAAACACAGTTGTACAACAGTGTGTTGCTCGGATTTCACGGATTTTTTCTTCATGGCCCAGGATTCTTTCGAACCATTACAGGCGCCGTTTCAATGCAGCAGACGGAGCTGTCCCATAAACCGTTGTCAGTACAGATTCCCAATGTACACCATCACGCCACCAGTCCACACGCTTAGCCAGTTGGTCATCCTTGTCGTTGATGGTTGCCAGAACTGCTCGTGTTGCATTCAATAAATTGTCGTAGTCTGCAAAGACAACGTCTCCACATTTCTTGTAGGGCTCCAAAAACTGCTGATCAGACCATGTTTCCACGACTGGGATACAGCCAAAACGACCCATTTCTGATAGTCGATGGGTCTCTCCTGCTGCAGTGGCACCATACCCATGGGTGATCAAGCATACTTTGCCATCTGCATAGGACCTCTTAATGTGTGCGACAGCTTTGGATTTTTCCATTCTGACATTGGAGAGGGTATTTTGGAAACTTTCTATCAGTGGTATTCGACGTGCCTTTAGTTCCCCAAAGAAGACGACTTCAAGGGATCGATTGGTGAGTGGTCGCATGTACTTAGGATCGCCCAGTCGGGATTGATGCATCATGGGTAATAGCATGACGGAATCATGCACACCCTTGTCTTTCATCCAATGATAATGAAAGTCTGAGTATTCCCAGATAACACACAATTCTTGATCATGACATGGCCTTAAATTCTTGCGCAGCTTCCCCTCACCAACAGCATCCAATTGCTCTGTCTGAATAAAGATGCGTGGAACGGTGGTGCAGTCCCTGCAGAAAGTGTAATCAGATTGGACATGCAGAACAGTTTCAGGAGGATCCTCAGGTGTGCTGGCATTCAAACCATAACCTTTCAGCATGTTTTCAATGTTGGCTTCGTTGTCTCGGAAGATCACTCCTCCCAACTTGACCTTGTAGGACTTGGCCTGTCCCAAGACTTTCTGTAGCTTGTTGTATGATGGCGAACCTTTGGGACTGGAGAAGGCAATCATATCAAGACACATTTGGTGCAAGGAGAGCTTGTTCTTGCACTCATCATACACCTCGACTGTGAGCTTCCTGGATTCGTCTTGGTTGGCTATTGTCATTGCTGATCGACCCATTACGATTTTTGTGCTCCTGCTTGATCTTTGGAGGTTGGTGACCATTATGGCACACATCATGAGAAAAATCACAGGTATAAACCTTCCTTTGGTGCCTGTCATGTTGCTGTTTGTTGAGCGAGGAGTACTATTTGTTGGAGAGGGACGGAAGCATCGTTGTTTGTGGTTTTGGATCATTGTGCCAACTTTTGGAGCGCGTTTGCGGATGTTTGAGACCCAGGGTCTTTGGTGATGGCGGCCTTAAGTAAAAATGGTCACAGTGCCACAAGGCAAGCGCAAGATGACCGAACGAGTGATCGGGACTGTTGTACTCGGGACTGACCGTCTTTGCTCTCTCGGCCCATCAAGTTTCAAGTCAAATGGCACGGCATGATGTACCGAAAGCACGTCAAAACATTTATGAAGCCAAAGTTTTCTGGAGCAAATGAAAGTGCTAGCATGTCATAGCTATAGCGAAGGACCCAATCGAGCTCTACGCCGACGAGAAACCGAGAGGGCCTTGCAAGTGGAACAGGAGAAAGTATCATCTACACGTGTACAGCTCCTTCCCGGCAGGGCGTCAATCCGTCGGCATTACGGTGTTTCAGGCTAAAATTGCGTTGAGTAAGCTCTCGCCCTGGCGCCTAGTTCAGTGTCCAGAATAGGATTTGTGTTTGAGGCTGCAACAGACATCAGCTTGGTGCTGTCGTCATTGCAGTTGTCAATACTAATTCCCATTTCACACCAGTACGCCACCAGTTTACTCGCTTAGACAGATTCTTGTCATCACTGCTGTTTATGCCATTGAGAACTGCTTTTGTTGCATTCAATAGATTGTCGTAGTCTGCAAAGACTACATCTGCACATTTTCGGTAGGGTTCCAAGAAAAGCTCATCTGACCATGTTTCCAGGATTGGAATGCAGCCAAAGCGTCCAAATTCAGACAAGCGATGGGTTTCTCCTGCTGCACCTGTGTGGTAGCCATGTGTAATCAAACAGACTTTGGAATCTTCATAGGATTTCTTCATGCGTTTTGTGGATTTGGTCTGTTCTGCTCTCACATTAGATAGTTCATCATTAAAGCTCTTTATGAGAGGTTTTCGTCGTTTTCTGCTCATGTCTCCAAAAAAGACAACATCGATGGATCGATTTGTGAGAGAATGCATGTTGTCGGCTTCCCCCAATCGCGATTGGTGCATGATGGGTAGTAGCACGACAGAATCTTGCATTTTTCTTTCCTTCATCCAATGATACTGAAAATCTGAGTATTCCCAGATAACACACAACTCTTGGTCATGACACGGCTTCAAATTCTTTTTCATGATCTTATGGCCAATTGTGGCCAGTTGCTCTGACTGAACAAAAATGCGTGGGATTGTATGGCAATCAGCACAGAAGGTGAAATCAGATTGGACGTGCAGGACAGTTTCAGGTGGATCATCAGGTGTGCTGGCAGGTAATCCATAGCCTTCCAACATGGCTCGAATGTTGGCTTCATTGCTCTCATAAATCCCCTTTCCTGCCAAATGCACCTTGTAGGATTTGGCTTTTCCCAATACGTTTTGCATTTTGTTGTATGATGGGGATCCAGGTGGACTGGAGAAGGCGATCATATCAAGACACATTTGATGCAAGGAAAGTTTGTTCTTGCACTCATCATCACCCTCCACTGTGAGCTTGCGAGATTCTTCTTGATTTGCCAAGGGCAGCTCCAATTCGGTTTGAAACACATGGTTTGTGCTTTTGCCAGAGCTACGAAGGTTGGAGACCAAAATTGCAGATATTACGAGAAGGACTGAAGGAACTATCCATCTTCTGGTTGACGCCATTGTTGGTGTGCTGAAGGTTTTTCCGTTATCCATTATGTTCAGACCAGTTCGTCCGATGGAGTTGTTTGTGCTGCGCGGTTCCTCGTCTGTTCCGCTTCTTTGGTGGCGTTGCGGGAAGCCCTTTTAAAAGTCACTTTATCCGTCAGCGTCCTCTCAAAGGAACTGTCGCCTGCCCGCCACTCAGCAATTGCAATCAACCCAACCACAATCCTGAACGACAGAACAAGAGGAAGTGTAGATAGACAAGAGTAGATTCTCCAAAGCTAAAGAGGAGAACCTAGCTATCATAGCTACTACTAGTGGCGTCAAGATGTCCTCCTACGGTCCAGGACCTGATAGAGGAGGAGGTGGCGGCGGTCCTCCACCGTCGTCAAATGATCGTCCTCCAAGAGGTCGGAGCCGTTCGCTGTCTCGAGATCGAGATCCCGGCAGAAGACGCAGCCGTTCTCGAAGCAGATCCTACAGCCGCGATCGTCGCTCCAGGTCTCCTCCGTCGAGACGACGTCGCTCGAGAAGCCGGAGTTACAGTCGTTCACGCAGTCGAAGTCCTCCCAAAGGTGGTGGGGTAAGTGGATTTTTGGAGCAAGAAGTTCGATGATACCCTTGCTTTTATTAACCCTTTTCATGTCATGTTATCTATGCAGTTTCATGGCCGTGGCCCTCCTCGCGATTTTAGGCGTGAACCACCCTTCCCTGATCGCTATGGTGGCCCTCCTCCACCAGATCAGTACCGGCGGTATCCAGGTAGGCATCGATCCTGCTCTTTTGGGGTATATTATTCTGGGCATGATCTGCTAACCAGGCTGTCTCTTTTATCATTTACTCCACATAGATCGCGATGGATATGGAGGCCGTGACTTTCGTGGACCACCTCCACCCTTCCATGATCCTTACTATCGCGACGGTGATAGATTTGGCCCAAGAGGAGGACCGCCCCCTCCTCACCATCGATATGGTGGGCCTCCACCTGGCCCTCCCCGCGGTGGTGGTGGGGGCGGCGGAGGAGGTGGTGGTGGTGGTGGACGCCGAATTAGACGTGACGAAGGTCCTCCTGGTGTTTCTCTTCTGGTGCGAAACGTGGCTCCCACGGTGTCTACACAAGAATTAACGCAAGCGTTCAGTCGAATTGGCAAGATTAGAGATGTCTACATTCCTCGAGATTTTCATTCGCAGCAACCCAAAGGATTCGCCTTTATTGAATATGAGACGCCTGAGATGGCCCGCGAAGCACGTGAGGAAATGGACCGTTTTCGAGTACAAGGAAGAGAGCTGGAAGTGGTTTTTGCACAAGAACGCCGGAAAACGCCAAATGAAATGCGTGGTCGCGTTGTGTCTTCTCCTGACGGTGACGGTGATAGACCAAGTGGTGGCGGAAGCAGCGGTGGTGGTGGAGGAGGAGGAGGAAGCCGTCGCAATGGTGGTGGAAACTTTGAACGGTGCGTCAATCCAGTGTTGTTGGTGTCAGAGGCGAAAGGTTTATGCTGAAAGTACGATCTTTGTTTTCAGATCCTCTTCATTTGAGAGGCACAAGCAGAGAGAACGTGATGTTCCTCCTCGCAACGGAGGCGGTCGCCCTGAAGGCGGACGAGATGGTGGTGGAGATCGTTATGATGGACCCCCGAGAGGTGGTCAATCTGATGATCGTCCTGCAGACAATTAAAAAGCAAATTATTGATTCGGGTAAGTTGGCATGATTTAGCTCCGGAGCAGCAGCCATATGCGATGGAATCATTTTTGTGTACCTCGACAAAACACACCCAAGCAAAAAGCAAGCCAGAGATGTATTGATTGATATGTATGATTGGAAACAAGACGATGAGAGAATTTAAAAAGGAAAGGAAGAGTGCAATTAGAAGACTCAGACCAAGCGGGAGCCTCAAGTTATTAGAAGCAAGAAGAAGGTCAAGTTATCGATGTTTTGAATTCGCGAATGGGAACAAGCCAGCCCCCATAAAGATGCCGAGCCGATGTACTTTGACGAGTAGTCCTTAACTAAATCAAGTGGTGTTTACAAGACGAAGACCAAGACACGAGTGATGCCTGGGGGCATGGCAACAAGACTGACCACCAAGCCCAGACCTGTTCAATGCCTACACTTGTTAGTGGGTAACTATCGCAAACAATCGTTGAACACTCAAGATCACGGGGATTTTCAGTGCTCTCATTCGTTGTTCAAGGTTGCTGCTGTTGTTTTTACGAGATGTCAAGTCCGAGAGGGTGTTTGTTTGTGCACAATACAATTACCTTAGCGAGCTATCGTCTCGTTGTGAGAAGGCATCAAGGTCCTCCCAAGATCAAGCCACAGAGGTGCGCGCCCGCTAGTTCGGTACTGCATTAGAACCTGCGCTTCTCCTGGTGCAGAGCACGCAAGTTTTTCTTTCTTTGTATCCGTCTCAGCCGATGTCGTGAAGGCTCTGGAAGCGGGTACGCATTTTCTACTAGGAAGAGAGGGCGTTCCTCGTTGATGTGTGTCTCCACTCCCCTTCAACGTCGTTTACAACAATTCACTGGCAGCTATCCGAAAGCATGAAGTTCAGGATGTAGTTTGTTAATACTTGGAAGAAACTACAATCAGGCAGCCACCTTTTCAGGAGAATGAATCTTTACGAGCACAACAATCAACCGTTCAGCGTACGAGGTGCACCTGTGACGATTGAATCATTCGATTCAGTTGTGCGAGGCAAATGTTTTACAGTCTTTCCCTGCAATGAGTTTTCTGTCCGTTTACAAGTTGTGTGTTTGGTCTTCATTTCGGATGTGTTCGTGGCGAACTTCGAGTGGTTGGCTTTTCTGCCATGTTCTAGCTAATGCCCGATGTTGCCTCATTGTGCTACCACCCTCTTGTCCTGGCTACCGGTAGTACTGTAAGCTCTATCTAGCCATGTTAGTTATCTTATGCATAAATTTAGTTTGTTTGGGACAAGCTGGGCGATTTGTATCGATATCGTCGTACATAGACTAGCTGGACTGAAAGGTTCCAGACACAACAACTTGCCAAGGCAGTAGAACCATGGGTCGTCAAAACACAAAATCCAAAAGGTTTATGAAGTCGGTTATACCAAGCTAGTCTGGCCACAAAAGAGCAAAGCGCGTGAACTGGTGGGGTACAATTAGTGGCTCGTAGGCTCCTCTGACGATACAATGTCATGTCATACCCGAGTTGGTTAATTTAAAATTCCGAGTCGTCATGTTGCAGTGGAGCCGCGGGGGTATCATCTTCTATTGCACTGGCACCTGCATCGTCTTTGCCGATGTACTTCATGAATTGTTTCCAGAAATACAGCCTGGAAGGAGCGAACGAGCAATACATGTAGCAAGAGTTAAAACATGACAAGAAGTACCATACACAGAACCAACAAGAGCCAATCGAGTCTCCACGAATGAATCGAATCGAATCTGCATTCACTTACAAGCCAAAAATGTAGATTGGATTCTTGAGAATATAGAAAACCACTGCCATGATTCCAGAGGGTCCACCACCGGCGCTCATATCGGCTTCTTCAATCGGCACGGCTTCGGTCGCCTTCCACTGTTCAATGACGGCCGTTCCCTGTTCGGCGTTCCCCGACGCCCCGGTAACATCGTCACGGGCACCACTGGTGACAAATTTTCCGGTCTTGACATCCAACACAATCAGGGTAGGGATACCTTTGATTTGCATCCGTTTGGCCAAAACATTTTTAATGTTGGCCGTGTCAGCACCGGCGACTCCTTCTGCCAGAGACAGCCACGGCATGGTTCCTAACGGGTATAAATCAATACAGTAGCCACAAATAAATAAGCAGAAGCGACGGCAATGACTTGGTCCGATTTGTAAAGTATATTATCTTGGTACGCACCATAATACTCTTGAAACTCTGGAATGGACTTATCCGAGGAAACGTAGACAATCTCGAGCTTGGACTTTTCGGCACATGACTTGTAGAATTCTTTCAAAATGGGAGAGAATTGGCGGCACGGAGGACACCATTTGGCTGTACAGTACATGTATGAGTACAGTATCAGAAATAAATAAACAATCACAAGTTAATGTCAGAAACAGCTCAACCACAACGAGCGACCAGGATACCGTAGAAGGTCTTCATTCATCGTCGTACGAACCCGAAAAGTACAGGGCAACCAGATCCTTATCTTGCAGGGCTGTCTTTGTGGGTGTCCTGGCGCCTTTGGCATTCGTCAACAGAGTCGCTCCGAGGAGCTCTTCCATAGGCGTCTTGGGAGTATCTGCTTTCTTCTTCGTTGACATGGTGGATTGTCTGTATGGTACAGTACGGTTCTAATCGAATCGAATCACTTCAATAGAATGAAGCTAAGTTCCAATGAGATACAGGGCCAGGATCTTTCGTTTGCTAGTTTCTGGAAGGGACGGTCATACGACTGAAAATCGCCAAAATAGGCATAAAGTCGCACAGGAGCCACAAACTCGCATCAAAAGTCGTTCATAAAGGCGCATGCGAATAGCACCAAAGTCGCGTGCGACTTTCTCACACGACTTTGAAAGTCGCGCAAGTTTACTGTAAGTATGGCGATAAAGTCGCGTCAAATCGCTGAAAGTTGTTCGGAAAGTCGTACAAAGTCGCGTACGACTTTGTGAACGACTTTCAGCGATCCGACGCGACTTTGACCATAGACCATAGCAAGACGAATCCGGGACTAACAGTCGCATGACGAGGACTTCCTGACAGGCATTAATTATTCGTCTTTGGAACGGTTGCCGTTATCCAAGCGGCCGCGCGTCAAGCGTGGGGGCTAGTAATGGCTTGGAAATTCGGCGACTTTTGAGGCAACTTCCCCTTCGGCGATAAGTAGGTACGACTGTATGAATCAACGCCGGGATCTTCCTCAAGTACTACCTGGTACTAGTAGACAATATGCTGGAAGGTTCCGCAAATAATGAAATAGTTTAATTATAATGAATTCTTGATTAATGTGTTTAATGGTGATGAATGGTGATGAATTCATCACCAGTTTGTTGAATGGTGATGAATGGTGATGAAAATGATTAATTTTATAGTGATGAATTCAATTCAGATTTTCATGTTTCGCAGGACCTTCCTTCGGTGATAATGTGCTCCTCTTTGCTCCCAGGAAGGTGCCGCCCTTGATGAATTTTTGGCGATTTGATGAATAGTGATGAAAATGAACTGTATCTGTTGACTGGTGATGAATTCTTTGTTGATTGGTGATGAAAAATGATGAAAAGTGATGAATCTGTGATGACTGGTGATGAATAGTGATGAAAATGTACTACTAATACTGTTTTACTATACCGGTAGGGGGTGATGAATAGTGATGAATGGTGATGAAAAATTTGAGTATGTGATGAATTTGGTTGAATGATGATGAAACAAATGGCCTAGTGATGAATTGGTGATGAAAATGATGAATACTGATGAATTGGATTTCAGATTTTCATCAAAGGCAGGACCTTCCAGCTTGGTCCTTGTGTCTGTCAAACTGATGACGTCGGGAAGCTTGACAGATATAATTTCTCTGTTGATGGCGGAATCCATGTGATCGCAAAGAGTGTTGTTTTTATTAAAGACACAACATGCGAAGTGAATACAAGTCCCCGACCAGCAGGGATGAGAAAGTTGCTCCTGAGGAACTCGGCAACGCTTGTGCTCAGATGAAGTCTGTTGAGCTCATCGATCATGAGTATGCACTTTGTGCCTACTCCCAACCAACCAACGACTGATTCTCTAGCAACATACACGGACAACTTGAAAATCTCAAAAATCACGGAGGTGTCTTTTCTTGCGGCGAATGCTATCCTCACGTATAGTGCCTGAAGCGGATTCTTCTGCTCCCATTCCTCAATGGGGTGTCTGTGTTGAAGCTTATTTTGATAATGCGGTAAGCACTCGTCGCACCTTCGGTGCTACCGGTGATAGCCACAGCCAGTTCCTGTAGAGAGCGCGATTTCCCACCCCGACTAATTCGAGTTAGCGCCGTTGGGACTACTTTGGGATGATGGGCATCCTTGCGGTCCGCATTCTCAATCGTCGATTCGAGAATCTGATCCAGCCAGCCATCTGGGGCGATAAAATCCGGCATATTCTCGTCATTGTAGTCAGGAAGCGAGACTTCTTCCAACGAAAGTGCCATTGACTGAAAATCAAACTCTCGTACCAACTCCCTACGCTTCTTAAATTTAGGGTCCCCAACAAGTGCATCCTCTGCCCGCCGCTTGGGTATCACTCTTGCTTGTATTGTATAGGTTCATGTTGGTACAAGCTTTTCACCATGAAAAATCTTTTTGTCGCCTTTTCTACGAAGAAAGTGGCTCTCATCTGCTAGGGTCACGCAAATGTCTCCCGCAGTTTCTTCGTCGACAGGGTCAAATATCCCTACTACTTCTCCTGGGCCATCTTTAACAACGATATCGGTCATGTTGTCGTCTTATTGTTGCATGGTGGTTCGTTCGCGGTGGTCGTGGTGGTTGTTGTTATTGTTGTTGTTTTGTTGTTGTTGCTGCTGCTGCTACTCAGTCCGCTTCAGCCTTGGAGATCTCATCTCCTCTTGTAGCACAGCTGCATCTGTCTATCGAGGCTGCTTCTATCTTTCGAGTACATTGGAGCTTCGCGTGTGTGGTTGTTGCCCTTTCGCCTGATGGAGATCAATGGATGGCCTTTGGTGGGCGTTTCGGTGTGAGAGGAAGGGCGAATGGAGTTTTCTGCGTGCCGGACTTCCTTAATGCTTTGTCACACGACTGAACCAAATGCACGTTTGGATATTTAGGGGTCGAGTTAGTGGTGCGGTCTAGCTAGCTAGCTACTAGTGTTCGAACGACTACTGTTGTTACGTAACAACAGTGTAGTTACATAACTACACCAGTAATGAATATAATAAAAACTGTTTTACCTGCTCGAATGCCCATTCTAACTGCTGCGATCTAAGCTCCATAGTAGTGCTAACGCCATGTGTAATGCAGGCTGGGTTCAGTTGGCTATGTAATCCAATATGTGCTAAGAAAGCTGGCTCAATCGGCAGGTGCGATCGTGCAACCAAATTCGGAGAGCATTTTCCTCCAACTGTTTCGATACCACAGAAATCCTCACCATGACGCTTCTTTCGGCGCTGTTTTGCCACCCTTTCACTTGCATTTGTTGTTCCAATGCCTCCGCCGGATAGTCGTAGAGTTGTGAGTGGCACCTGCTGGGCCAACGCGGCGGCGGTGTCGCGAGATGCCAAGAGAATTTATGGAAACCTCCTCGGCAAGACTTGGTTGAAAGGGACAGTCCTGTCAGTATCAAAGGAGACCAAGGAAGGAGGGAAGAGAGCCACCACTTTCATTACAGCAGAGTATATTGTTGGTCTTGAGCGCAAGATCAAGAAGCTGACGCTCCAGACTTTGAAAGACAAAAATCCAGAGGCACCAGTGACAGCGAGCGTGGAAAACAACAACAACAACAACAACACCACTCCAGCAACCACAACCCAACCTCCACCACCTCCTCCCAACAATAACAATGAAGAGGAAGCGGCGGCAGCCGCAACACCAACAGCCGCAACACCAACGGCGGCGGCAGCCACAACAGCCAGCGAAGAAGAGCGAAATAATTCTGCGGGATCTCCAAATTCTTCCTCCAACTCGAACTCCTCCACTCCACAGTCTAACACTGGACCGACTCCTGTGAGTGTGAACCATGGGTGCGAGTGGTTCGAAGGAGTGACTGATGTTGATGTTAACGGCCCTGTCAACCGTTGTGGAGAATACAAATACCAAACCACTTAAGGATTTCGCCCATTGAAGTTGGAGGTTGCTTGTGCACACGGAGCTTTGCATTGACATCCTCCACCATCTTCTTGAGTTGCTTCCTTGGGAAACAGGCCATAAAATAGTCATACGGCGTGTACTGCTTTTCCTTGTGGTCGTCGCATCCAGGAGTGTAGTAC